GTAGAAAACAGAAGTCTATAGCAGTCTGGCAGAAACATATATCCAACAGTGGATCGATAAAATTAAATGATACACATCATTTTTATTATGATTATGATTTTCAGCCCTTATCCCATCGCTCAACTGTAACGCCGAATAGTCATTCTACGCGGTCCCGTTTAATCTGTTCTGCAACTAGTTGTTTCAGCCTCCAGTGAAGCATATGCTTCAGGGTTTCAAAGTTGAGTACATTAAGCATGTAACTGTAACTGCTCCGTGCAACGTGAAAATGGTCACCATATTGTGTATTTAAAAATGATATTCAGTGTGTCCAAATAAGCATAAAACGCGTGTACACAACAATAAAACAAGCAACAATATCTATAAATTAATAGACTGAAAAACGAAGAACGGAAACGTCCCTGAAAGAAGACCAACACTGGCTTTATTAAGGGTAAGTAATAATTTTCTTCGCTTCCAGCTTCAAGGGCCCACGTTTTTTAACAGGCACTTTAGCGTTGTCAGGCTTTCGTGCAATAGTCCCGAAATTGAGCTGCCAATCATCCCAGTCTTTGGAAAATTCTTCATTCATGGTAACCTTCGCAGAGTTAATACTTTCAGCGTGTTTTGTTGCTTTCTGCAAAATAACAAATCATTAATAGATCAATGAATGACTCTGAAAGCTCTCACTTTCGAAGAATCCTGAACCGTCGGCTTTGGGGAGTCAAAACAACTGAAATCCTGATCTTCTTCATCGAAATCCCAATCGCCAACGTCTCCGGATGCCTGGGGCTAAAACTTATGATAATCACGACGGACGCGCGAATAACTACTTACCTCTTCCGTAATGGATTCCCACGGCTCATCGTCCCAACCAGACAACTTTTCGTAAGGCTCTGCAGATTTGACAGCCAATGAGGACCGAGTAAGCACAGGCCTGTCGTTTGTGATGACGTCATTACTGACTTTGATGCTGGCGACGGCGACGGCGTCGTCAGTTTTTGTGGTCTTCGAAACGTCCTTGGACTCTTCGACCAATTTGTTGACATCTGAAGGCTTCACGACCTTCTGGAATTGTTTTGTGAGAGCGCTGAGGGCCCAAGAAGCCCACTGGGGAACATTCTCGGAACTCAAAATGCTGGAACCAGGTGTTGCAAGAAGTGCGTCTGAAATGAGACAGCTTGGAGTAAAAGAAACACATGACCTCTTGGCCTAAGAAAAAATTAGTACGATAAATGACAAGCACAAACTTGAAAACGAAATATAAAATTAGTCAGCAATGGAAAGAAGGCATAACTTATTTATTCATGGTTTCTTATTACTAGAAACTAAAATCGTTAAAATTTAAAAGTTTCGCTTCAACAGAACTCGCACCAACCAGAACTAGTCAAATAGAGCATTTCGCGGATCTCTTTAATCTGGATGATAGAAGATAACAGGGCAAACTCGAATTTGAGTCAGGGAGACAACATGTTTCAATGCATGTATAGCAACGATTAACATTTAGGCTTTGTGATGATTAACTTTTAATTTCACTGTTATCTCCCATCATTTCATTCCGACACATGGCTGTCCTCATACTGTCATTTTAACGATCGTAATGTTGGTGATGTAGATTCCGTTTAGTGCAATTCATAGCATACGAGCCAAGGAAATAAACCCGGAAGGACTAATTGATAAAATCTGTTTTGCAACATTTCATCATTTATACGCTATACTTCTCAGAGAAGTGAGTGCTTACTGAATGCCAGTTGACTCTCTTTATGTGTTCTTTGTTCTCGGTTGTCTGTTCCTCCTATGGTAAAACAATTTCACCATTCGACACGGCGACAGAACGGAACTCATGTTGTCACCGTCCAGCCGTTGTCTTTCGAACAACCCGCAAAACCGGCCCATCTTCTCTTGGCATCGTAAAGGTAGAGATTGCGTCTGTTAATCCAGTCCATTATCGAATATAACTACGGAAGGTCTTGCTCATTCTTCACTTCACTACTTCTGATCTACTAATCCTGACATCGGATTCAATAACAGACCAACATTAAGCGTCATAAATCAAAATGGGTTGCATGATAGTTGTAAATAACTGTATCTTATTGTATTATGACAGTATATGAATGACAATCCCTGATGAATTATTCAGATAACACTAACATCAGATTTTATCATCTTCATTATTGCCTTCACAAGACTAATGAAACGTTAAACGTGAACTAAAATCAAACGAGGCCTCAATTAGTTTCGATGATCGCTAATCGTTTCAAGTCGTGGACGCAGATGCGTCAGAGAGTGCTGCCAACGTTCCCGATCCAGAGCCAGAGTCTGAACTAAGGCAGAAGCAGAAGACAACTTGAGTCTGGAACAGACTCCTTCCATATATTTGCACCAGGCTAATCTTGGAGGTCGTCCGGGCCTTTTACTGGTCGGTTGAGCAAGGAGTAGCTGTTTCACCTTTCATGCTGATAACATTCGCAACATAGGCTCAAACTATCGCAGCTGCGACTTCTCAATTTGAACAAGCAGCGGCTGTACATTAGAACGTTCATAGATATCTGTACTAAGGTTCCGACCGTGCCGAGACGCGTGAGCAAAACGGCCATATACCGGCCACGAAGCACTCGACTGCGAACCTTTCCAAAGAGCGCTGTAGATCAGTTTCAGAAGATGCCAACACAACAGGGTCGTCAACAAACAGCAACCTTCTCGTCTCGATCTCTCCTACGCTGAAACTCACCATCACCCCTGTTGTGCTTGACTCTTCTATTCATGTACAACATAAACAGGAGAGTGGGTAGAAAAAAGCCTTGGCGGAAATCAGTGCCAACGCTAAGAGATCTCGACTTTACTAGCCATCTATTCTGACGCAGCGTATGCTACTAGCATACAGTGACTGGATGGTTAGTATCAACCGGCAATCGATCCCATATGTTTGCAGGCACGCCCACAGATTGCTGCGCCGGATTCGGTCATCGGCTTTCTCTGTTTCCACAAAGCACATGTACACAAGATGAACGAAATATATTCTTCAATAACCCCTAAATCATCGTAAACGCATGGCCATTTCCCCCGCTAAATTTCCATCCTCTGTTAAGAGAGTAAACGAAATGACGAAATGATTTCACTATGTTTCAGTTAGTGGATCAATTTTCACCGTAGAAAATAGACGATAAAAAACAGTTCACAAAAATATGCTCGCGTACACACTCCCGCCGCACAGCCGGTCGACTGTACAGTTGCAGGACGTCACGTGTTATAGGCATCATAGTTGATCAGAAACACCACTGTTATAGTAGTTACAATAATTCGAATGAACAATCGTCAAGAAATGTCCCTGCAGCAGGTTCTGAGTATAAATAGGAAGCCGAGGCTACTGTACCGGAGTCTTGTTTATCAAAGACAAGAATACGAAAGAAAAGGTCATGTGGAAGTTCGAACTCAGCTGGAATAACAATGTGGTGCCAGACTGCACACATCGAATGAGCGCGTCATTTTTTTCAATCAGGAAAAGCAACCATTCTGCCAAAGCAGAAGTAGGAAGAGTTATCGAAGCATTTAAGAAACTCGACATAATGTGTCAGGATTATACCCATGACACAATGGCCTCAGCTTCTGTAGCAGGAAAACTGTTATCCATCCATAGCATGAAACAAACAGCCAGGGGTCAGAGAGTCGAGTCGCTCATTTGACTATCGAATCCAACTAACCTAAACGATTTGGTACTGCCGGAAAGGCAGACGTTTGGTTGTGAGGATTCCCTGTTGCACGACAGCTGACCCGGTAACAAAAATCGCCTATTAATTTTTTCTACTCTGAATAATTTGTGACTACTGTCGCAATCATCTGACTGGTATGGCGATGGGACATTTAAAATAGTTCCTCAATTGTTTCAGCAGCAACTGTTCATGATCCACGGGATACGGCACTGCATACCTTCGCTATTTGCCTTGCTGCGGGACAAAACGGAGGTGAGTTATTAGCAAGTGCTGGACGTCGCCTTGAAACATTTTGATTCAAGTTTGGTAGCTTAATCGGTTGTGACTGATTTCGAGCATAGAGCCGTCAACGTTCTTCAAAGAAGCTTTCCAAGTGCTCTGCATCGCGGGTGATTTTTTCACTTTGGCCAATGAAACTACTGAATCATTCAGGCGAACGGTCTCCAGCAAAAGTACTTAATTGATGCTATCCGAATCCTCGCTGCACTATCCTTCGTACAAGTGCAGCAAGTACAGCAAGCATTTGAGATCGTTTCAAAAATTAACGATTGCCTGGCCAAAACGCAAGTGCTTATAAACTACTTCGCAGATGAAGAGGAATGGCCGTCAAAATCGACGTCAGGCACTAAGGCAACCACTCCTCACTCTAACACTTTGGAATTACTTTGACACTAACTACGAAAGCCTGCCAAAACAAATAATGCCGTAGAGGAATGACTTCGAGCCTCTTCGTAAGTTACTGACTCGCACCATCCATCCATATGAAAATTTATTGCTGGTCTGCAAAAAGAACAAAGCCTGAACGAAACTAAGATCGCGCAGTTAAATGCAGATCAACCGCAATCACTACAAAGGAAGAAACACGCTAGGATTTCACTTAGCGTATTGTCAGAATAGTATGTTTTAGTCCTAGCAGATAGATACTTCGAAAAACCCGAAAACGCTAACTCCAATATTCAATTTCTAGATTGTTTAATAGACGCTGCACACAATTTTAATTACTAATTACTAATATCCTTATGCATTGTATCATATAGAATTTTTTGCGTTTTATTATATTGAATGCGGTTGTGTAATAGTTTACGAAACAAACTGCTTCAGGTAATTATCACGAGTTGTAATCCTCCATTTCACGACTGTGAAAACAAAGATAAATCAACGGTCCGAGGCAGGAGCTACCGAACAACTGTACCAACAACCAGCTGTGCGGCAAGCAAATGTGCGGCTAGCAAATCAGCGTGTACCAAATAAAACAATGCTGTCGAAAAAATGAAATAGTTGTGCGTAAACAATGGCGAGTGAACGCTTGAGTTAAAAATATGATTTTGAGGATTTGTGAACTCTGCCTAAGGCGTGAAAACAATCTTTTGTTGCCCATTCTCGACTAAACGATTTACCTGCCTGTTTCGCTAATTCCGGGTTTTGTGAGAACTTTTCCAGTTTTTCCAAGTAGCCTTTGATCGCCCTGAACGCATGCTCTCGTATCTGCTTCTCGGGATCCACCGTACGGCAGCACAGCAGCGGCAACACCACCTTAGCTATCTTGTCCGACGAATAGAACTGCTGCGTCGCAGACATTGCAAGAATGGCGGCAATACGTACGGGCGGGAAAGGGTCGGCCATGGCACGCGTAAAGGCGGAAATTAGAATTTTTAACCGGCTCTTAAAAAATAAAAATCATACACAAACATAAAACAGGCACTGAATAAATACATGATAAAAACAACACAAAATAAAAGCATACAGAAACGATACTTTCAATGTATACCTCCAAAAAATAGTAAATTTTATTGGTGCAGAAAAGGAATGCAAAGGGGAAGCAGCATGTACCTCGGACAGCGTGATCACAAGGATCAGTGTGTAGCATGACTACAACAATCATTCTTAGGTCATCGATATGCGGCCCACATTTCGATTGGTTACATCGAGGCAATCTTCTGATTCAAAGAAATGAGTAGCTAGGTTTAAAAAATTTACTGACACTTGGAATGAAACCGTTACTTTTGACATGTGAGAGTACACGAATTCCTACCGTTTACTGTTATACGATTAAAAAGCCATGTTCCACAGGTACCAATAAACAATCGAACCTGATGCGATCTTTGTATCCTTTCTATGTCAACCAGACACCAGGAGGCAACAAGGAGAAGCAGAGTAGTCGAAGATCTGGTTTTGGAAAGGAAGTGTTCCTATTACGATGCAATAACAAAAGTGCCTTATAACAAAAACCCGTGCGATATGTCGAGGCACGCAAGCCGGCAGCCATAGCAGTGGCAAAAGCCAAGGCTGACTGCTGGGAGAAGTTCGGTGAGGTGTTGGAGTCGAATTTCCACACGGCATACAAAGTATTCTGGCAGACCATCCGCCGGCTTCGATGTGAAAAAAACGGGCAGCCTCAGAGTATTTAAGGACAGATCTGGACACCTTCTTACCAAGAATGATGACATTCTTCGGCGATGGCGGGAGTACTTTGAGGAACTCCTTAACCCCGCGCAA